TCTCATACTTCGGACATCTTGTCAGGAAGGACCAGTCACTGGAGAAGGATATATTTGGTAAGGTGGAGGGTTGGAGAAAAAGAGGAAGACCCCAGCAAGATGGATTGACATAGTGGCAGCATTAATGGTCTTAAATGCAGCAATGATTGTGAGGTTGGCCCAGGTCCAGGCAGTGTTTCATTGTGCATAGGGTTGCTATGAGTTGGTACCAACTCAATGGCACCTAACAACATTTATAACATTAATTATATATTAGAATTGCTTAGCTGCATTATGTTCATTGTTTTTGAGTCCCTGGGTGGTGTCAAGGAGCCCTGATCTTGTAGTGGTTCAGCGCTCAGTTGCTAGGCAAAAGGTAGGCAGTATGAACCCACAAGCCTCCCCAAGAAGATGTGTAGTCTGCACAGTAAGATTTGCAGCCTTGGAAACCCTATGAGGTGGTTCTACTTTGTCTTACATGGTTGCTATGCATCAAAATCAACTCATGACTGTGGGTTTGGATTTTGAAGTTTCCAGTTCATCCAGAGGCGACTGCAGAAAGACCCTGGCAACCTATTTCCAGAAAATCAATTATTAAAAATACAGTGGAACACAGCTGTACTCTTACCACGTATGGGGGGGTGCCACAAGCTGGAATCAACTGGTTTGGTTTTCACTTCTTTAAATGTGGCTATTAGCAAATTCTATGGAGTCCTGGTGTGGCGCTGTGGGTTAATGCGCCAGACTGCAAAGTCGTTTGAACTGCAAGGTCGGTGGTTCAAGCTCACCAGCCGACAGGGTTGCTATGGGTTGGAACCGACTCAATGGCACTTAACAACAACAAAAACTAGCAAATTCTAATCTTTCCATGTGGTTGGCACCACGGAGTAACCTAGATGTTTTTGAAAGAAAAAGGTACTAACATCCAACAAGCTCCATTTTGCAACCCCTCCACCCTAGAGGTTGTCAGTAAGTTGGTTGTATATTCAGGTGCTATAAGCACTGCTAACTCAGCTCCTCTAGCCCCTGTCACCCACAGTTCAGAGAAGCAGCCCAGATACTGATATATATTTCTGTTGGATCATCTCTCACCTTCTCCCACTTCAATGTCCATTTTTCCCAATATATCAGTGTGACATAGTAAGTACTCAACACACACTTGCTACAGTCTCCACCACAGCGCCTCCAGAAGTCATACAAGAGGTACAATGTGGTAAAGAGCACTGCTGGACTGTAGATGAGAAAATAACCAAGCTTCTATTCATAGCTCTGACCTCTTGCAGCCCTTGGGCTAAGCTCCATCAGGTATCTGGGCCGTTTTGACATCAGTGTGAAGAGAAATAAGAGTTGAATTATTTGTTTTATTCAAACTGAGTCCAGAAATCTCTTGAGGGATTGCAAGCTTCCCCCACCCCACCTAATTTGATAAAATGTTTCAGAAACATTCATTTCATATCTATTTTTTATATATTGGCGTGCAGGAGTCCTAGTATGGCATTGCAGGAAAAGCACTGGACCGCAAGGTCAGTGGTTCAAGCCTATCAGCTGCTCCTTGGAAACGCCCTGCAGGGTCACTATGAGTTGGAAACAATTCGATGGCACTGAACAACATCATCTTCATACTGGTTTGCAGAATAAAGTGAATTTCTTACTGTCACAATTCTAGTCTGAAAATCACTGACAGATAATCTCTCACGATCCCATGGAGTTTGAATTCTTATTGTGATGGTCACAGTTGAGGGTCACCTTGGCTGGGCCATGTTCTCAGCGCTTTGGCAGTTATGTAGCTATCCCCCATGAAGAGATCTGAAATAACGTAATAACCTCCAGGAAGACATCTACTACGAGCAGCCGATGAACGGACAGGGAGTTTCTGTAAGGCTGTAGTCTGCTTTTCATATATAGGGATTTTCTGGCAAAGCTCTCCTGCTTTTTGTTGTATCTGGATCTTGCATACCATTAGGCCTCCAGTTCTTGGACTTGAACCGTGTTCTGCTGTGCTACCCACTGATCCTGGAAGTTGTTACCCTCTGCAGTCTATGAGTCTGCCATGTAACCTACCAACCTGGGAATGTCACCTCTACAGCGTGACATCTGACCCAAAGACTTGGAACATGCCAGCTTCCACAACCTCGTGAACAATTTCCTCGAGGTCAATTTCCCTCCTCTATCTATGCACGTAGAGTCCTGGTGTGGCACTATGGGCTAATACACCAGGCTTCAAAGCCGTTTAAACTGCAAGGTTGGTGGTTCAAGCTCACCAGCTGCTCCTTGGAAACCCTATACCGGGTCGCTATGGGTTGGAACCGACTTGATGACACTTCACAACAACAACAATCTATGCACATGTAGAGGAGCTCTGGTAGTGTAGTGGTTACGAATTGGGCTGTGAACTGCAAGGTTAGCAGTTCAAAACTACCACCTGTTCTGATGAGGCTCTCTGCTCCCATAAAGATTTACAGCCTCAGAAACCCTGTACAGGGGTGCTATGAGTCAGAACCGACTCCACGGCACATAACAACAATGCACATGTAAGCTTCACTGGGTTTACTTCTCTGCAGAACCCAGCCTGATACACTTTGTTTTGTTCTAAAATTATTTTAAGAGCAGTAAATCACAAAGCATAAAATCACAACTTAATATGGAAAGTTTTATCGAAGCTAAAATTTATTTGGTGCATACTTTGGGTTTACTATTAGGTACTTTCACATATACCTTTCCCTTTAATATGTAAAGTCAACCATGTGAGGTATTTTACAGATTTTTTTTAAAAAAGAAAACAAACCCAAAACTTACTTCCTTAACTTACTCAGTGTAAAGAAGGGGTAGAAGCACTGCAGAACCAACAAAACCCAGTGAGCCGCAGTCTATTTTCACCTCCTTCTATGCATCACCTACATACACCACCCACTTCAGCATTAGGAGAAAATAGAATCAATTCAAGTAAAAGGAAATGTCAGTTGCAATTATTGTCTACAAGTATTTTTTTAATCAGCCAATTTCTACTCTCATCACAAGGGACCTGAATGCTGTTAAAATCTGAAACAATTTTAAGGTTATAGGACTTTAGAAACGCTGCTCATACAGAAACACTTTAGCCTAAAAATAGCACAGTCTAGTTTTTTCAGAGGCAAGTTTTTCAGCAGAAAAAGGCAACGGGAGTAATTCAACTGATGGAAATTATTTAAGTAAAATACTTCAAGAAAGTAGAAAAGAGTATAGGAAAATTGTATAAAAATGTAGCACCACTACCCCAATAAATGAGCACATTTCAAGATGTGAATTACATATTATATCTTTTCAAATAATATAGTCTTACATCTAGACATTCAAATTATACAAGATAACATATTAAGTATGCCTTCTAATTAAGAATTCAACACTGACATCAAGTTATTTTATAAAATTAAAAACAAATTTCCCAGTAAATAGTGACTATTGAATTGTCATCCAAAAAAATTCCTCCACATGAAGTAATTTTATTCCGTATGGACATTTTTCTCAAAGGAAGTACTGTGTTACAAACTAGATAGATAATCTGGTCATTATAAATGTATTTGATAAAAACATTTTGATTAACCTGATGTTTTTATTTCTTGGTTTATTCAACATTCCTACCTGTCTTTTTCTAAAATCATGTCATAAACTACAGTGCATAAAGAAACCAGATGTAAAAGTTGAGGTTTAATTTATTAAAAAAGTACCTTCTTACTAAATGTTGCCAGTAGTAAGACTGACAGACACCAAATTATATTTTATAATCAAATTATTAAGTATCGTATATTCAAGATATATATTGAGTGCATATGTGTGTATGTTACGTGAAAATTTATACTCGACAAATAAACTTCATACCTATACACTAAACTTCATATGATTTATTTTAATGATCGCTGGTTCTAGATTAAAAAAAAATAACAACAACACAGAAAACCCCACAAATTCTATGGCAGCAACTATAATAGACAGTCCTTTGAAAGGTACGTTTTAAGTTATCACATAAAAGTGGACTATAATTTAACAAAATATAAATGACATTTACAGCATAAGGCTTTGTGGTTAAATAATCAACATATTAAAGAAAAATATCAGAGAAAGTCTTTGAAAAACAGATGTTTCCTGTTAGAAGAATTCATTCATTCCTTCCTAATAATGGTTAATATGCACATTATGATGTCAGAACAAAAGATTCCAGAAATTCCTAGAAGAGGAAGAATTAAAACTTCAGTAACTGATGAGGTCAGACTTTCTCATGGCAACTGAAAGTTAATCTGTTGGTAACCAGAAGATACGACTGCTAATTTTTAGAGAAGTAAAGTTTATTACATTTGAAACAATACAGCATAAATCTGAAAAGTATGCTCATTAAATATAGTTTAATTCTTACAAATCTTTTTGAAAATGCAATTCACATATGCTGCAACCTCAGAAGTATGAGTTCAAACTGAAAATATGAAGGCAATAGTCAAGGAGCTCCCATCAGAGTGCTTTGTCAAGTATCTGTACAAATCAGCATATACTGCTTCTGCCTATGACACAGTAGGAAAAAGGGATTCTAAATATAGACCAGAAAATGCAGAAAAATACATTACTATTTGAGGCAGACCATGCTAAAATAGAATTTACAATGATTAGTTTGCATTTAAGATGGCTAACAATGCTTGTAGTTTGAAAAAAACAAGGTAAGCTAAATTGTGCAGTATTTGCTGTCTTTTGTACTAACCAGTTCATCTGAGATATAAGATGTACTTAGTTCATTCTTTTCTTTATGCATATCATTTTCTTGTTCAGTCATACTAATGCAAACAAATCAATACAGCATCAGGATTTTTCACATATTAAAATGAGGACTATGACTTGAGAAGGCAGACTCTAACCATGTAGTACTTAATAGATGAAACTTGCAGCTACCATCATCTCAAAAAAAATTTATAACACCAAGATTTACAAGCCAAAACAAACATGTGATTAAATTATTCTGCTATTCAAGATATTCCATTGACCTTTTTTCCTTTGAGACTGGAGTTTGTACGAGGGAAAAAAAAATCCTCAATGCGTTTTAAAAACCGCAGCTGGATATGAGTCCCTGCAGCTACGACGCTGGCGTGGAAACAGGTATGTATGGTCTGTCATAGAGCCATTCAATTCCCCATAGAAGACGTTCTTCCAAGCCAACTATATAGAGATGAAAATCAGCTCACCCATGATTAAAACCAAAGTCATCCTTCACAAATAGGAGCTAGACACCTCACCCAAACAGATCTTTTAAATCATTGCTAGCTGAATTGCTGTTGGTGGTCATAGTGGTGGGTGGCTGCGCAAAGTTCTGTGGGTTAAAGAAAGGATTACCTTGCATACCAAAGGCAGACTGTCCCATCATGTTCATCTGTGTTCCCATTGCAGTACTGCCCATACCTGGAGACCCTTGAGGAGGTACAAACTGATTAAGCCACTGATTTGGTTTCTGTTGCGATAATTGGTTCATGCTAACTTTGGGTTTCTGAGGGCCAAAGAGATTGTTGAGGGCAGACATATCTGTGGGTCTTTGTTGAGTCTGCTTCACAGCAGCAGGAGAAGCACTGAAATTCGGCAGAGACGCAGGTGTCCCCAGGGTCATCTTGGTTACTCCAGGTGTGCTTGGACTACTGAAGAAGTTCTGGTTTGTATTCACTGGCATGGGGAATCCTGAAGTCTGAAAGCCCATGTTGGCATTGAGGCCATTTGTCAAATTTCTCTTTGTATTATCGACTGGTGTACAAAACATCATACCGAGGCCCATAGAAGGAACAGAAGAAGTGAAGGTACTTGGAGCAGAAACTTTAGGAGTGCTAACAGAAAGGCTGGTCAAAGATGACATATTATCCATCAGTGTGTCTGTCAAGTCTTTCGTCTGCAAAATATGAGGGAATCACTTTATCTCGCTTAAATCCAAATTATCTTACACTTAGCAAACATTTGATAAATGAAATTCTACAGTTAAGTTAAAATTAAGTGTACCCAAGGGTCAGCAAACCATTACTTACAGGCCAAAGAAAGCTTCCTACCTGTTTTTATATGTTATTTACAGATGAATATTTGTAATCAATTTGATGATACCAAAAATCCGCTGCCACTGAGTCGATTCCAACTAATAGCAACCCTCTAAGGGCAAAATAGAACTGCTCGTTAGGATTTCTGGGACTGTAGATCTATATAGGAGGCAGACAGCCTCATCTTTCTCCTATAAGTAGAGTAGCTGGTGAGTTTCAATCACCAACTCTGGGGCTAACAGCCCAATGCTTATTAACCCATAGTGCCACCAGGGCTCCAATTTTATGATGTTGTTTATGCTGGTGAGTAGGTGCCAATTCACGGTGACCCTGTATAGGGTTTCCAAAAGCAGCTGGTGGTTTTGAACAGTCAACCTTGCAGTTAGCAGTCCAATATTTTGTAGGCACATACTAAGAATAGAGACAACAAATGTTCACATTTGGGTGTGTGTGTGTGTGTGTGTGTGTGTGTGTGTGTGTAAAATACAAAATATAAAAATGGTATAGTACGGTATTTTTAAAATGTAGATTAATGAGAAAAATGCAGATCTTATTAATGAGAAAAACGCAATTGTTTAGGGGAAAAGATAATACTCTGCTTAATTGGAGCTCAGCATTTCTGTGTTAATTTGATGATAGGTAACACAAATGCTACAGTCTTGTTGTGGTGCTGTACGGTAAGCACTAGACTGCTAACCATAAGGTCGGTAGTTCAAACCTACCAGTTGCTGCTCAGAAACCCTATATAGGATCACTATGAGAACTGACTCAGTGGGCACTTAACAACATAATGCTGAACATCACTTAAGCAAATCGTTATCTTCTCTCAATGTAAATGCAATCTTCTCATTAATAAGATCTATGTTACATAAATATCATACTCTATTTTTATATTTTGAATTTTTCCCAAAAAACTGTGAAAATTCATTGTCTCTAAGGAGTCTTGGTGTGTTGTTGTGGGATAAAGCACTGGATCGCAAGGTCTGTTTAAACCACAAGGTTGGCAGTTCAAATGCACTAGTGGCATTTTCAGCAAATGCCTACAAAATATTGTCAATTTTGTCTCTTTGACCTGCAAAAACATTTTTTCAAAAGAAAAATTTTAGTGACTAAGAGGTAGCAAAAGAATAATTTAAAGGAAACTTTAAAGCTAAAAGTTATTTTTGAAATCACTTAGTATGAGCTCTCTGCAAGCAAGGATGGTACTCACTGCCCTAACATCAATAGCTATCAAACAGTGCCTTGAACAAAGAAGAAAACAAATAATGGTCAGGTCACTATTTGGCCTGAAAATCTGAAATCAAATCACACCCACTCCTCACTTATTAAGGAGCCCTGATGGCACAGTAGATTATGAGCTGGGTTGCTAACCACAAGCTGCTCTATGGGAGCTTTCTGCTCCTGTAAAGATTGACAGCCTTGGAAACCCTGTACAACTCCGTAACACATAATCACCATCACTACCGCACTAGTGACAAAGACCAGGGCATTACATGAAAATCCACATTATGTACAAATGGAGGATGACTACATCAAGTGAAGGATGGATAACTCATTACGTGAAACACAAACCACTGAGAATCATGACACAGCCAAACTGACAAGCAACCTTAACCATCACAGTTGGCATTATTCTCTCCTCATGTCCGTTACTACCAGATGCATGTTACTAAAACACAGACTAGTCAGATTTTTTTACTATTGTCAAACATGTGAAATGTCAGATAATTAGACAGTCATTAAGTGAGAATGTGCATAACCCTAACTATAGGAGCTCTTGGACTCCTAGTGTGGCGTTGTAAGATCAACATTGGACTGCAAACCACTAGGTTGGCAGTTCAAATCCACCAGCTGCTCCTTGGAAACCCTATGCAGAGTTGCTATATGTCAGAACTGACTTGGCGGCATTTAACAACAACAATGGGAGTCTTGGTGCGGCGCTGTAGGATCAGCACTAGACTGCGAATCACAAGGCTGGCAGTTCAAACCCACCAATTACTCCTTGGAAACCCAAACAGTCAAAATTGACTCGATGGTACTTAACAACAACATAGGAGCCCTGGTAGCACAGTGTATTGCTAGCTGGGCTGCTAGCCGCAAGGTAAGCAGTTTGAATCTACCAGTTGTTTCAAGGTACAAACAGGAGACGTTCTGCTCTCCTAACGATTTATAGTCTCAAAAATACTACACAGACTTACTATGAGTTGGAACAGACTCAACAGCACTTAACAACAACAACAACGATTCACCTATGGACTCCTGGTGTGGTGCTGTAGGATCAGCAATGGACTGCAGACCACAAGGATGGCAGTTCAAACTCACCAGCTGCTCCCTGGAAACCCTATACAGAGTCACAATGAACTGACTCGATAGCACTTATCAACAACAATTATTCATCTATAGGAGTCATCTTCGAGTTATAAGCATTGGACTGCTAACTGCAAGGTTGGCAATTCAAACCCACCAGCTGCTCCTCAGGAATCTTATATAGGGTTGCTATGAGTCGAATCCAACTCAGTGGCACTTTTAACAACAACAACTATGAATCTATTAGGAAGCCCTGGTGATGAAGTAGGTTAAGAATTGGCTGTTAACCACAAGGTTGGTAGTACAAACTCACCAGACAACCTGCGGTGGAACCATGAAGCTGACTGCTCCTGTAAAGATTACAGTCTCGGAAAAGCGGAATGAGCTCTACTCTGTCTTATCAGTTCAAATCAACTTGATAATAGTGGGTTTGGTTTTGGTTTATGATCTATTCATCTAACTTCCTCTTCAGTAGCAAGCACTGTCATGGAAAATTATATAATTCTTAGTGGTGGTGGTTATGTGCCGTGAGGTCGGTTCCGACTCATAGCGACCCTGAACAGGGTTTCCGAGGCTATAAATCTTTATGGGAGCAGAAAGCCTCATCTTTCTCCCGTGAACAGCTGGTAGTTTTGAACTGCTGACCTGGGGTTAGCAGTCTGATTTGTAACCACTATGCTTCCAGAGCTCCTTACATAATTCTTACATATTACATATTAAGGCATTCTTTGGAATACATTTCTATGTAAATAATAACAGAAAAAGTTTTCTGCTATCTTCCTCCCAAAAAGCAGTATGCTTAAAATGATGCAAGGAGCAAGCACTCACCTGTCTGACGGGAGCAGCGGGGGTGTGCACTTGGGGTTGGAGAGGCTGCTGGCTTTTCAACTTCTGTGCCTGCTCTTGCTCTTTTGCCAACTTTTGTTTTTCTTCAAGTGTAAGTGACGCCTTAAAACAAAATAAAATGAAAACTTAATGGAAAATGTCATAATTCCATTTATATATTATAACATACAGTTTTTGGTAAACTATCTCTTGGTACATTTGGTGATACCTGCTACTTAACTGAAGAGTGAAATGCTTCCTGTATTGGTGATTGTCACAGGCAAGTTGTATTTAGAATTATTTCAAGATTTAAATTTAGGCAAAAACTCAAAAGAGTTGTGCTAGGATAATACTCCTAGCACAGCAGTTACTATTTTTGAACTATAACACTTTTTCAGAGAATGAGAATATGATTAAGTGATCTGGGAGAAAGTAATACTAATACTGAGCTCCATCCAAGTAAGCATAGTATTACTTCTCCCAAAATAACTGAATTCTTATTAAAAGAATCTTTATCATAAGAAAGTATACCTCATAATTTCTGAATTTTTAATTTTGCCAGAAAATTATGAAAATTTATTGTCTCGATGCTGAGATTCCTGGAGAGTTTATTCAACTGTAATAAAACTAGGAAACCTTGTTAATTTATCCACTCCACAATATATTACCATGGAATGAAAGGAAAAGATAGAAGTGAGCTTGTTGGGCTCAAAAAGAACAGAAAAAACTGTGGGCCTGAAACTGTTGGGAATATAGTAAGTAGAAGAGAAGTTAAAATACCAAAAAATAGTCTGGGAGGGACTTAGGTAGATAGACAGCATAAATCAGCAGCGAATTCACAAGGGAGCAGAAGCAGAGAAGAAACACAGTGGAATTTACCTGGGGCATTTCAAGAGATACCATATGAACAAGAGCCAATGATACTCAGAGAGGAAGTCCAAAGTGCATTGAAAGAAGTGGCAAAGGACAAGGCACCAGGAATTGATGGAATAAAAATTGAAATCTTTCAGGAAAGTGAGGCGGCACAGGAGGCACTCACTCATCTCTGCCAAGAAATTTGGA